TTCTATGTTGTGACATTCTGAATTTCCTTTGAAGCTATATGATTTTTACAGTGAGTGACATATTCAAACACAAAATGCCATGTTTTTTTAATACCACTGTTGCATGCTGTCAAATGGAAAATCCTCTAGATGTCCGGTGCATCCATTTATGCAAACCCCCAGCATTTCTGGGATCTTTGAGAACTCTGGGATCACCACTATAATTTGAAATATAGTTCTGTGTATTTGAACAACATTTGGCTGCACAGCATGAGTCTGTAATGCCAGATCAACTGGGGTGATTCTGCAGCTTCCATCTTCATCCAAAACATGAGTGAGTGTGTGTTTACAACGCCTGTGCTGCAGCCACATTTGTTTCCACTTTAGCCTCCACACAGACCTCCTCTGTCTCCTCTGTTCCTGCACATGGCGACTCTTAAGACTTGATTCATCAGGTCATACAAAGAACCGTTTAGCTCTGCTCAGACGCCTTCTGTGGCTGAGATGTAATATTATCTTTACTCTCACCATGTCTATAGGTAAACAGCTTCCTCAGCCAGGCAGCAGACATGTTGTTACAGCCAACGGCAAAAAGAAACAAGAACTCCTTTGATTCAATGGCTGATATAACGTGTTGCTTGTTTCAGCTCTGAAGAAGAAATAGAGCAACACAGATGCAGCAAAGAGGCCACCATTTGGACTTTATTCTCTTTATCTTTACATTTTCTTTCCTGGAATAAATGTTAAAATATGTCTGTGACATGAGAAAGGAATTTTACATCATATACAAACACAATCACATGCCATCTTTTCCATTTGACTTGTGTATTTTACAGATTTAAATATGACATATAAACCACATAACAGCACAAGCAGTCAGCCGCTCAGCATGTAAGATGCTGCAGTGAGGGAGTCGGACCTCACAATGCGACGATTTGACCCCAGAGGCTCCCACACTGATCCTGGATAGAACAAAGACAGATGAGAAGAGTTCTGACTGGGACAGTTGTTGGTGTTTCCTAACTGAAACAGCAAAAGCAAAGGGAGTTTTAATTGTGTGAGCTAAAGTTTGTGGATGAAGAGGCTGCACAGAGACTGACCTTAACTTGCAGTTGATGTTACTGACAGTGTGTCCCTTAAAATAACTGTGCCAAGTATGTGAGTAACATTCAATCTACCTTTTCCTTTATTGCAATTTATCCCTTTAATGTTTTCTGATTTTCTAAGGATTCTGTTTAATTCATCAACCAAAACAACCACTAACATTTCCATCCATGCGTAATGTAACTTTTTCAGTGTACTCTTGCTAATCTTTCTCTGTAAACATCCCTCTTGCCCTTTTCTCTTCTTCATTCGTCACTCACCTGCATCTGCAGTACTGTCAGTTTTGGAACCAGCTGATGAAGTAGGTGCAGATGCCATGGAGTTTTTTCCAGCAGTACTCAGAGGCGAGTTTAGAAGCTCTGGATTCAGGCTGCTCTGTAGGATGATTAGTGGTCTTCACAGGTTTGGGAGTAGTTGTCCTGGCCTGGGGGGCTTTGCCTGGCTGGGGTTTGATTGCTTTGGTTTGGGCAGGCACCGCTAGTTTGTATGTCACCTGCACAGGTTTGGAGGGTTTAAGCATGGTGATCTTGGGCCAGGAAGCCAGGAAGGTCATCTGGGCCTCATCGGAATATTTCTTACACATGTGTGGGCGGTAGACTTTGGTTCCCTGGCAGGCGTGGCTCAGCTTCCTCAGCTCCCACATCATCTGGGTGAAGTAGTGGCGAGGGTTGAGGTTGTAGGCACGGCAAAGGGTGGGTTTCCCCTGGAAATCACAGTAGTAGGAGCTTCCTGGGGTCTGGCCCCGGCTTGGACCTTTGCAGGAGACACGCAAGCGAGTATAGTCCCCAGCTCCAGACACTACCATGGAACAGGAGTCCTTGGTCTTGGTGCTGAATTTGATGGGCTCATCCCAGATGCTGCGTTGTTGTTTCTGTTGCTGCTTGTTGACGATGCTGCTGTTGGTGGCCTGAGCGTTTGACACGCAAACAGTCACCGCCATGACCAGCAGCAACACTCCCATCCTGGCTGTCATGGTAAGGTGTATTAGCGATGGATGGATGTGGGTACAGGATGACATGTAAGTACCAGTCCAGTTTACAGTGTGCAAGGGTACAAAGCATCCAAGTGTGACTTTATAAGGCTGAAGCTCACAAAGAAGGTATTATGCAGGTGGCTGGTGCTCCTCCCCCAGCACTAACCCCTCCCTCACATCACACACAGTGGCCAAATGAGACCTGTGTGGTATGTTCAAAACTAATAAAGTGATGGATGGGGTCAGCGGGAGAACGTAAACAGAGGGAGGAAGAGGGGAGAGGGGAAGTATTCTGTGGGAGCTCAGGAGGAAAAGTTCACAGAAAAGAGTAAGAGAAGCCTGAAGGAGGGTACACACATGAAACCAAACATTATGGAAAAGAGCTGTGAGTCATTATACAATCTCACACAGGAGGTTCTTTGACTACTGATGAGTGGGAGAGGAAGAGAGGACTGGAGAGGACTGGAGGTGTAGAGTCAAACTACAGCTGAAGTTACTTGCTAAAGAGTTAAAAGCTGATATGTGGCCCTGTTAAAATAAAAACCTCATCATGTTTGTAGAGACTGTTCTGCCAATAGAACCATGGGTAGATCATTTTTAAAATTCATGCTGTGTAGCCAAGCTTTGTTCAAATGCACAGAACTTTATTTTGAGTTCTGGCAGCGATCACAAAGCTTCCAAAGAGGCCAAATTATGTCAGGCTGCATATTAGACAAATTATATAAATTGATGCACAACAAGAATAGTTTCATTTGATAGAATGAGGCAATTAAAATAAAAGTCTTTAATAGTTCACTCAGCATTTGAGAATATTATGTTTCAGCCTGATTGATTAGATTAAAATATCAAAATGAGAAACTTAAATGCATATTTAAAAAAAAGGCTTGGCTCTGAATCATTCAGTAGATTACATCTCACTTATCTGCAAGACCTGATCTTTATTGGCACAACTGTGAAATGATTATTCCTTCAAATATTCTGGTGTACAGACAATTTAAAACTGGAACTTTTTTAAACTTGTGACATGTTTAAGTTGGTTAACGTCTTCTAAAAACCAGAAATAGGGCACATGCCTATCTGGATCTGGCTTATATCAGTTTGTGGCAGACGGAATTCATTCATATCATAATTTCATATATTAATGAAAGGTTGAGGCAAATAATTCTACACACATAAGTAAACACTCAGGCTCTCAGTACGGACCAATCAAGACAAAGGAAGCCAAGACCACAAGGTGTTCCACATGAACTCATTAGACATTAAGGTCTGATCACACAACCTGCATGAAGAGCAGAATATCAACACTGATACACAAGCTGTAGACCCAATATGCACTCACATACACCGAGATCTAAAAAATATACATCAATAGACCTAAAAAGAGAGGGAGAGAAAACACAAGTCATCAAGAGGATGTCAACAAGCTGTTACAAAAAACAAGGCTAAGTGTTTTCAAGTAAAATAGCCATTTAGATTCTAAATAGTTTGATCTTTGTCCTGATTGGTCCTTATTGATAGGGTTATGTCTATTTGATTTACTGGGTCTAAGTTGTGCTGACCATGACTTTTGACTGAAATGTCCACATTTTTATTCACTTTATCACATATAACATGTAATAAACTTACTTTTGGCATCTGAAAAGCCTCTTTGCAGTTTTGTCACTGGAGTTAAGAACGTAAACAGACACATTTTGAGTTTTATTTTTATAGCCATCGGTCTGGTGGGGAAGAGAAAAGGTTCCCTTATATGAAACCCGAGGATTGCAAAGTAAACGTGAAGATTGTGTGGTATTGTGTGTATGTTCTCTGAATGTTGTCTAAATTAAGTTAGATAGGATGCAACAGCGTTACAAAACTGCTGCCAACTCCCCACAACTCCCTGCAAACCTGTCAACCCCCCACAACAGTCCTGTGTGCATGTATTCAGCTCTGTATATGTAACATGTGAGTGCATTGTGTGTTGCAGCCATTTTGGGATGGACTCATCCGAATGCTTGCTTCACATATATGATCAAGCCTGGTTTGGTTTTTATGATCAATTGTATTCTTTTTCACAGAGCTTATGATAAGTTTTAACAAGCATTAAAGCACATTTTAAAAATTATTTGGAGTGAATTATAATCTTTGAAAACCCAAACAAGCTTCCAGAATGTTGTTAATGCGTGTGTATTTTTGCTTTAGTGTGTGTGTCGGTATGAGTGAGTCAGAGAACAGTGGTTATATCCAGTTCATGAATCATGTGTTTATGGAAGAAAACAAAGACACTTACCATACTGTTGATTTATTTGCAGATTTGTATCCTCACCATAAATGCCACTTTTTTTAGTAGCTCAAAGCACAGCTTCAAGCATGGCTTTATCTTTAAAAATATGCTAACACACTGCTGCCATTTAACATAAATATGAACACGAGAGTGGTATCAACCTTCTCAGCTAACTCTCAACAAGAAAGCAAATAAGTGCATCTAACTATTCCATGAAAATTAACCCGGTTAGTGAAACCCGTCGAGCCAAATTATGCAAGCTATATATTACAAATATTCACAAAACTACATAAATGTTAGAAAACAAACATTAACAAAAATGTAGAAAACTTCCAAAATGTTGAAAGTGTAAAAAATGACACTTGTTTCACCATGTTAAAACTGATAATGTAATTTCAAATTCCTTCTCTACAGGTAAAGCTACTTATGCAGGAACATTTCTCTGCTAATGTTGAGTATGAAACTGCTGTGGTGCTGGTGGGTGTGAGAGATAAATTACAGCTGGCTAGCATCAGATGTCGCTGTCAAATGGCTTGACAAGGTACTGGGGGGTGGGACCCCCTCACCACACTGTTTCTAATGATGGTCATCCTTCCCTTTTGTCCTTGGAAAAGCTACATGATCTTAGTGGAAAAGCTGGAAAGTCCAGTGATCCTGGAAAGGAAGAGAAGCCATTTCTGCAATAACCTACAGTTTGTAATGCAGTGTGTATTCATTTTGCATTTATTTATTAGAGAAACATATCAGAGCAGGACCTACTACAAGAGAAAGCTCAGTTCCAGTTGTCTTGTCCGCTGAAAAAGAGACAATGGGAAAAGTCAACTATGGGTTCATCAACACCTTATGACCAACAGTCTTGGAGAGTTTTAGAAAATTCCGTGTGTTATTTAGAGCTTAAGGCAAAAAAACTAAGTGGTATCAGACTCTTTTTGAACTTTTTATAATACATTAAATCTCACAAGCTTGTGTCATCTACAGTACACTTTAATACAACTGTCTGCACAATTTAGTTTTTTTTTTTTGTCAAACATTTTCTGAAAATCTAGCAAAAACATCAGGATAATGGGATATTCCAACAAGTAGAAATGCTGAGCGCTAACTAATGTGAAAATTTGCATCAGTCATTACATGAAACACATCATCTTAAAAAGGGCATTTATGATTTCTCTGTGGGAATGTTTTATACCTAATTAAACTTTGTTGTTGCACGTGAAGCATACGAGTTAACACTTCATTACCACAAATTTGCTGCTCTCCCTACAGGATGTTTCCAAACGTACACAAGGACAATCAAAAAATGGTCAGTCACATCATTGTAGACAGTGTCAGATGGAAAAGATGCTTTGAGTTTAAATCACACACTTGAATGAATGTGGGCAGTTAATAGACAACGGTGATGGATGAAGAGGAAGAGGAATAGATAAAACACTGATGTGAGACAAGTGATGATTCAGTGGCTGGTGCTTGTTAGATGGTTACTTCAGGCAGAAGTGGATTAGTGGATGGAGATAACTAATAATCATTACCTCCTCAACCAGGAGCTCGTTCCTTTGGGTCACCAGTCAGTGTAGCTCGGGGGAGCAGAGGCCCGGGGGAACCAAGTAAGAGCATTGCAATAAGGGGAGCTACATGTACACACAAATATATGCATTCATAAATATGGGGAATCCTGTAAGATTTGTGGAAAAACCTCATGTAGCACACTTTGTCCTGTCTGCAGACGCTCAGTCATGCAGACAAAAATATCCCTCCACCAAATAACACCACAGCATGCAAGCTAGCAGAGGTGAGCACGGCTCATACCTGACCACAGTGAAGTCTCCATGGATACTGCACACTTGTTCACCATGATTACCTGTATTACCCATACTGCAACATAAGAGCGAGGGAAGACAGGTGAGAAAGAGATCAAGAAGACACCGGAGAAAGCAACAAGGATGGAGTGACACTCAAACAGTGTCACTCTCGACGTGACGTGAGGTAAGATGATGAAACAAGAATCCATTCAAGGAAAGGTTATGCTCGTGATTTATGGTGAAAAAAAATGAGGAGAAAGATCCAGAGTGGAAAAATCTCATCCCAAAAAAGAACTGGCATGTGAAAGAGAACAAAAGGATGCGTGAACAGCAGACAAACATCAAAGTGCAATGAGCCACAGGTAAGAGGAACTGGAGAGATGGAAATAACATGAGGGGAAAATATGAGAATCATAGGCCATGAAAAAGAAATAACAGACAATGAGAGAAGAGAGGGATTGATTAATTTCATTTTGATCTACTACTACTGATTTCAAAAGCTTGGAATAACACAGAGGAATGATCTGTCTGTGGCTATGGTGCATGTACAAACTGTGTACGTATGCTGTTGGGACTCACTCTTCAAAGACGTCCTCCGTGTCCATCCTTCTGTAATACTTGGCCAGTTTGACAGAAAAGAGGATACTGGGGATCAGAAGGATACAGCAGCCTCCCAGACCAAACCAGAATGTGTTCTGGAAAATAAATTTACCAGTAATGTTTCACATTTTATCAAGTCGACCCTCGGAAATGAACTAACTTGTTAATGAACTAATTAACTAGCTTAATATTGACCACAGTCCAAAGCTCTTTTGAGCTCTTGTCAGAGACTCCCAAAACCCAGAGCTCCCTCAAACCCTCAAAGACATGTTTGTATTTCAAGATGAAAACCAGATGCATGTAACGAACATGTACTGCACAACAACTGTGAATTAGATTAGTACACGTTAGCAGCCACAGACAAACAGATGTCTTACCACTGAATCCACTATGAAGCTGCATGCTACAATCTCCACGCTGTCTACAATGTTACTGATGGGTTTACACTGGGCCACCTCTGCAGTCAACTGCGGGGAAAATACACACACTTTATATACATAAAAACATAGAAAACAGATTAAAGTGAGGGTATGAATGAGGAACAAAGTTTCAGTTCCTGATCTCTGTGTGGCTTCTTGGACTGTAGAAAGTCTGGTTACAATCAGGAAATCTCTAAAGCTTCAGCAATTTGCTGAAACATAACTTATATGACTGCAAA